TACATAACAGATTAGCTCACAAAATCATGACTATCACCCCGTGAGTATGGTACTCCTTTAAAAATCACCGACATGAGACCAAATGGTCAACAATTATTTTAAAACAAAGATAAGAATGTAAGGGGGCAGGGAAACTAGACTAACGGGCAGGGAACAAGCAGAAGAGAAATAAGGAGAATGTTCACACATTGTGAAGAATGTAACCAATATCACTGAACAATATGTGTAGAAATTGTTGAATGGGAACCTAAACTGCTGTGTAAACCTTCATCGAAAACACAGTAATATATTATTTAAATAAAAAAAAAGATTAGGTTATAAAAGACACTGCGGCTTCCTCTTGGTGCTCTCTCTCTCTCTCATCACTTACTCCAGGGGAAGCCAGTGGTGAGCAGAGGTCTGGAGAGGTCCACTTGGCACAGAATTAAGGCCTCCTGCCAACAGCCACGTGATTGGTTCAGGTAATCCCGGCCTCGGCCAATCAGAACACAGTTTTCTCTGACTCCAGAAATCAGCACAGAGCTGATGACATCTGCTCTGAGTGCTGACGGGTTCCTCTTGAGCAGTGTGGTGTATGGATGCAGTTCTGGAAACGCTGCAGTTAACTTTGCTACTTTGAGGGAAGCCAGCATGAGCACTAAGCTGACACCTAGGATGGGCAGAGCTGAGGAGACTGAAGAGAAACCAACCTGGGGCCTTGATCCAACTGTGCCTGAAGCCTATAGTTAGTTATGAGAGGCTCGATGGGAGATGAGGCCTGTTTTGGAAACCAAAGAGTCCAAACACAACCTCCTGCACCTAGCCTAGCAGTTCAGCCATCTCTGTCAGTCAGATGTTTCCATCTGGGACTTTGAATCTTAAGGTGGTGAAGGAAAAGTCTCAGTGACCACTGAAAAATTCCTCAGATCACCAGCAGCTGTGCTGAGAGTGTTGGGCCCCTCAGCAGAGGCTGCAACGCCAGGGCGACCCCCCAACCAGACCTCCCTGGGTGCACGTTGGCTGGTGCCTGCTTGCCAGCCTCTTAGTTCCTGCCCACCTTCCAAGAGTGAGTCTCAGTCCCCCCATAGCTCCAGTGGGCTGCCCAGTCTCATCCCCAAAATGTCTTTTCTCACTTTGTTACCGGGATTAGGCGTCTGTTGCTTATGACCAAGAATCCTGATGATAACGTGGCTTGAAATGCCTGTTGTGGGAACTAAACAAAAGTGAGATGCTTTGTGAGCATTGTGCAGACACAGGCGTTTGCCTGCAGAGGCAAGTCCAAGGTGTGTCTCGGTAAGAATGAGTATTGATTAGGAATGAATTCGGGTGCAAGCCACGAACATCCAACTAACAGGAGATTAAACCCACAGGGGCTTGTTTTCTCACAGACCCAGAAATCTGGAGGTAGGGTCTTGTCCTCTTCAGGGGCCCAGGCTCTTTCATTCCTTTTGTTCCGACAAGTTTCCTTAGCAGGCGGGCTTTTGTCCTTGTGGTTTGCAAGGTGGCTGCTGGAACTCCAGACATGGCATCCACCTCCACAGTCAAGACAGGAGGAAAGGGGGACAGGCACGGCCAATCACATCTGTCCCCTCGTACAGGGAAACGTAAACCTCTCCCAGAAGCCCCGGCAACAGAGTCCCCCCTTAGGCCTCATTGGCCGGAACAGGTCACATGACGACTCACAGCTGCAAAGGATTTGGGACAGCAAGGAACCAGGTTGTCGTGATTGGCATTGGCCAAGCATGCTTCACTCCCTGGGGCTTGACAGTTCCCATAAAAGCAGGGCTCCATAGGCAAAAATTAGTGGAGAGTGAATATCGAGTAGGCAACAACTGTACCTGCCACAAGTGGGAGGACCCGGGCTTATCTGAGCAGAGAGGATGAATGAATTAGAATGCATGAATTAGAATGCTCATGACTGTATTCCGTATAACAATAAGATAACTAAAGCCCCCTAAATGGCCATCAGTGAAGAGGCAGCTAACTGATGGTCAGTTTGCACAGCAGAACACCAAGTAGCCACGAAGGAGGTATATCTAAATGTGTTGACGTGGAAAGACGTCACTAACATGTTGATGAGAGAAAAATGAATATATCCTTTATGTGTAAGAATATGTTAATATATATATACATGTACTACAAAGTACAGAAGGGACTTCTGCTTCTGGCCGTTATGCAGTAACTGGTATAGGACGTGCCCTCCCGCCATAAATAACTAGCAAACTGGAGAGAAAAAACATAAAGCAACTGTTTTGCTACATTGGAAAACAGGCGGCGGGGGACTACGATGCTAAGAGGAGGAAAACAAATGAGACGCACCCTACAATTGTCTTGGCTTTCTGCCTGGGTACACCTTCTGGACTGTGGCACACAGCACAGAGGTCTTGTAAGTTGAAGAAGCAAAGACTGGAGTTGGGAGAAGCTGAAACAGGTGGAATTTTCAAGGTAGAGTACTTAAGCAGAGGCAGCTATGCAGATAACAAGCTCTAGAAATCTGTAGAGAAGGTCCTCTTGAGAATTTTGCTGAATTTAAAATGGTGAATATGTACAAAAAAATCCCGTGAGACTTGGAAAAGAACAACTACTAGATAGCTGTAAAGCCAAACAGTCCCCAGAAGTCACACAGAACTGAGACATTTGGGTCCCCAGAAGACCTTGTTCAGCACCCAGGGCATTTAGTGGAGATTCCATAAGAGTTACAGCTTAGTAGAAGGGCTAAACTACCCCAGAATAAGAGGTTAATCTAGAGCTCCTCTAACAAAGCTTAAAAATGAGTCTCAAAAAAATACAACTGCTCTGTAAGTTGATTTCCTGCCAAAATAAACTTCAACACTCTTCAAGGGAAGACAACAAAGTCCAGAGATTCAATACTGTAAAATTTACAATGTCCAGCAGTCAATAAAAAATAGATATGTGTGAATAAGCAAGATAATGTGACCCATAGCAAGGAGAAAGGTGAGTCAGTGGAAACAGACGAAGATATGAGAGCGATGATGGAATTAGCACACAAGGACTTTAAAACAACTCAAAAATATGTTCCTGAATATAAAGCAAAATATAAACATAATGAGGAAAGGAAGATGCCAATGAAATGGAAATTCTAAACCTGAAAAATACAGTATCTGAAATTTAAAATTAACTAGATGGACTTAACAGCAGATTAGACAAGCAAAACACAAGATAAGTGAGCTTGAAAATATGGCAGTAGAAAATATTGAAATTAAGTCACAGAGAGAAAAAAAGACTAAAAATTTAACGGAATCTTT